GGCCAGGGCAGAATGATAGATACCATAACTGTTTAGCACACGTTTGGTCAAAGGATGGGCTTCACTTGTCTCTTTGACGAGTTGTAATATGATGCTGCAAATGGCGAGACTCACTGACGATGCCGGCGAACAATCTGGGAATGTACCACGTCCACGGTCCGACTTTGGAAATGATTATGCATACAATTGACTCCGGACAAAGTGTGTTCCTCTAAGTCTCTCTACCAATATGACCTAGTTGCGAAAACAAGCTCAAACAACTTCTATTAATAAATATAGTTATATCAAATTATGTAAGAATAATGTAACTAATTTTCTCAGAATACAACTGGAGAATGATGTGAAAATTCCAATACAAAAAGGATAAAATTTCGCGTGTCCGAACGAAGTAAACCATCCCCTTTAAATGCTGGTAGAGCTAATTAGCTTAACAGATAGATTACCCGAAAAATTCTGCAAGAGCGTAGACTGGAGGTGATTCTTCACTTTGAACAGGTCGCTACGCAAAATAAATCTTATGTTATGGGCAGGGCCCCTGGATATTAAGGTTGTAATAATCTCATTGTTATTAAAGCCGACTAAGGTAGAGGAGTGGCAGTCAGGGTTAGGTAAAGTTATCTAGAAAAGATATTAATGCGTTTAAATGACATTGATGCTTATAAACCCTTAATGAAGGACCCTACGGAGAGAGTTAAGCCTAGGTCAAGGGATGCTCTGAGGGAAATGGATAAGTGGAAAATAAATTTCCTACTTCAAAGAGATAATAGAGCACTCTAAGCACATAACATTTCAAAAGTGCATACGGAGGGGATTGTTCTTAGATGGATTGGAAACAATAAGGATAGTATTATGAATAAACTCACGTAACAGTTGCTCCGAAAGAAATCACAAACAGGAATAAGCCTTAACTTCTAGTATCCCCATACTTATGAAATGAAGATTTAGATACACAGAGGGGTATTGTCATAAGAAGATGAACTGAAAAGCCTGACTCAGATATCTCATGGAAATGGATATCGAGAAGCAATGAAATGCAACATATGAATCGTGATTAGCAGATGGCAGGACGGGGATTTCGAAAGAAAAGTTAAGTAAACAGGAAAAACTATTGAATATATGAAGACCAAGATGTTGTGGCCTCTGGTGTGGTCGCAGTCTCCTTTCGATTGATAGAAGTGGGTTGACCTCGTTGTCGCAACTTGTCTTGCTTTCAGGAAGACCATGTAGAACGCACATAGTCCGAAGTCGTTTGCCATAGTAGTTGTCATGATTCCCAGCATCCGACCGTGGACTTGATACATCCTCAAACGTTTCGCCGGCATCGTAGTCGGCTTGGTGCGGCGAATGGCAAAACTCACTGATAATGCCGACTACGATGCCGGAGAAACGTTTGAGAATGT